GATGGGGACGGTGCCGAGGAAGAGCCCGGCAGCTGCTGCCTGCCCACCGCCACCCTGGATGGCTCCAGCAGGCCCCACGGCCTGCGCTGCCTGGACTGACAGTGACTTACTTGTCTGGACAGAGTGTCAGGGTGGCGGAGAGACATATTTTGGTTGGTTAGGTTGCCTCTTTTTTAACAATAAATTAGGCTCTTCTGAGGAGTCTTCTTGTGGCTCTACTGTGGGTTCTACTGCGTCTTTCTCATACTGGCAAGAGAACTGGCTGCTTTTACCAGGAGCCTGGTGCTGGGTCCACCAGCAGCGCAGCAGCTTCATGCACCCCCTTGTTTTTCCCCAGCAAGCCCCAAGCTGGATTTGGAGAAGCAAGAGCAGGAACCATATTCAAGACTCTTGGGGATCTGTTGCTCGGAGCTGTCCTAGGATCCAAGGAGGTGCCCAGATCCAGCTTTGTCACAGGGAGAGCAGCACTGGGGCCACAAACTTCAAGCTGTGTTTGGGCACTGTGCATCAGCCATTGTGCAGACAGAGCTGAAGGGGAACGAGGCTGGTGGCAGCTTGGCGTTACATGGGACAGCCACAGCCCAAGGCAGCTCGACACCATGCTTGGTCCTCTGGGTGATAAATCCTGCAGCTACCTGTAGCCAGATAGTTTGAGCTCAAGAAACCTTCACTTCCCCCAGCAGAGCCCATTGCATTTGTATGTATATATAGTGCATTTAAGATGGTTAAAAAGTGCATCAGACCTCAAATAACCAGAGAAAAGAAATACAAATTTTATTGTTTTTTTCTTTCCAACACGATACACTCTTTTACCAGAGCAAATTAGAAATGCAGAACTATTTCCTACCATCAAGAGAAGGACGACCTAGAAACGAGGGACACAGAAATTGGATGTGACTCTGCAGAACACGGAGGATGAAGGGGACCGTGGGTTCCTCGCTTGAAGAGGCAGCCTGGAGCACTCCTGCTGCTGGCTCCACAGCAGAAACGTGCCTAAGGGCAAAGCAAGCGCCTCCCATTATTGGTGGCAAAGCTGCTCATGGGAGGCCTGGTGACTGCAGATGCCATCATGTGGTCACAGAATGGTTAAGGTTGGAAGGGACCTCTAGACATCATCTAGTCCAACAGTGTGGTAATGTGGCAGGGAGAGCAGCCCACCAGCAAAGACGACGTATTTGTGGGCGATTGAGTGTGGGCGACCAGCAGCAACGGGGTTTGCACCAAGCCGCACTAGGGACAGGGTGCAAAGGCCCCTTCCACGTGCAGTTCCCGATGGCTGGGTTTTCCCTAAGCAATGAGGGCAATTTCCAACCTGTCACCTCCCAGGAGAGGGCTGGCTGCAGCTTTGCCCTGTTTTAAGATTCCCTGCTGCATCAGACCCAAACTCCTCATCACCAGCCCCTGGAGAAGCTCATGGGGCCAGTGCAGCACCTGGCACAGGGAAGCTAAGGGTCCTGGTTTTGTGACGCGGAGCAGGCTGCACCAAGGTCTCCTTGCTCCCCTGGCAGCACAGCATGGATGTTCCTTCGGGACGTGGTTCTTCTACCCTCTAACCCTCCCTGCAGACACATTTATTTATCCTTAGTCTAAAAACGGGAGGTGGGGAGGGAAAAAAAAAAAAAGCGCAAACACAGAGGCATCTCCCAGCACAGCAGGCTGAAGTCTCGCCAGGGTGGGACATGGGGCTGCTGGCAGCAGTGGCAGGGGATGCCTGGGCTGGGCATGAGTGCTGCAGGTGGGCACCTCACATCGCACATGTTGGAAGCCTCAAAACAAATGCGAACGCAAGACAGGAACTGCTGGCCCCCCAAGGAAGGCCACGGCACCCCAGTCCATCTATTGACTCCCCTCGGCATCTGATGTGTGATTTTTCATCTGCAAGGAGAAATAGCAGAGAAACAGCATGAGGAGCCACCTGGCCCAGGCAAGAGGACCAGATGTGTCCCCCTGTCAAGCACAGCACCCAGCAGCACCATGGCCTGTGCACTGTGGCCAGGAGGACAAGGGAGGGAGCCCAGAGCCACCCCTAAGAGGCCCAGGGCCAAGGCAGCATCGAGCTGCTCTCTCTGGGCTGCATGGGGCTCTGCCAGCCCCAAGGAAGCAGGCAGACAGGGCTCAGCAGCCACCAAACCCCCCTAAAGCCCCAGGGCAGGGAGATCTGGGCTCAAGCAGCGATGGGCTTTGGCAAAGCAGATAGCCAGGGCCTTGCAGCACAGGGGCTGGTGACAGCCTTACCGGCTCCTCGGTGTCGGTGCTGTCCTCGGCGCTGTCGATGTCGCGCAGGTCACTGTGCCCCTCGGCTCCTGACCCCTCTTTCCTCTGGGGTTCCCTTGACCCTTCTGCTGGGGATGGCGACTTGTCACCAACTTCGACCCTTTTCTTCTCACTCTCCTTGGACCCTGCAGGGACAGCAGCAGAAACTGAGTGGAACATGAGTCTTACACTCACAGGGCAGGGCGGGTAAAGCCCCATCATGCCAAGTGTTTGTGGTGAGCCCAGCCATCCCTGGGCTTGAGTGAGGCCCAGGGAATTTTCCAGCAGGCTCTGGAGGCCAAGCTCACTCCTTTGCATGCAGGGATGGTGCCCACACCTCCACCTCACCCCGTGGGGCAGCTCCTGCTCACACCAATGTGTTGATGCCAGCTGGAGCTCTTACCCAGCGTAGTCAGGTATAACACGGTTAACACCTCTCACCTGAGAGACGCTCTCTGCGCTGGTCCATGCGGTCCAGGCTCTCCAGCAGTCTGTCCACCTGCGCCTTGATCTGACTCAGCTCCCCTTTGATCGAGTGTAGCTCCTCGGCCCGCACTGCGGCAGCGTGGGCAGAGGAGCTGTTAGGGTCCCTGTCAGAGCCAGGGGAATCCGCAGTCCCAGGACACGCTCCCGCCGGGCTCCTCCAGCCTTGCCGGGGCAGTCATGTCTTTGGGCAATGGCAGTGGGCTCAGGAGCCCCCAGCCAGGCAGCCAGGCCCTGGGGAGCTGCTTCTCTGCTGGAGCAAGCGACCCCCAAGCAACATAGGCCCATCTTCCAGGGGGACTGATACTCTGTGGGTCTGGGTCACTGTGTTTCTCTCCCCATCCCAACCCTGCCTCCATGAGCAAACCCCTCTGTGCTCACCAAGAGGCTTCCTGCATCCTCAAGGTGCCTGATGGAGCTACCACCTTGCTCCTTCCCTTCTAGCCAGGCCATGTAACACTCACACTTCGTCCGCCCCGTCGTGGGGCTGCTGCTGCTCCTCGTGCTGGGTTGGGGGCTCAGGCTTCTCTTGCCTCCTGCCCCAGGGTGAGTTCGTCGGGCTTTGACGGGCAGGCGGTTAATGAGGGGAGGGATCTTCTGGTACTCGTAAACCCTGCAAGGGCACAAAACCACAGCTGTGTGAGCAGGACAGCGGGACAGGTGAGTCCTTGCTCTGCTCCTCCAGGCAGAGCAGAGCAGCGAGGGATTGTGCCAGGCAGTGGCACATCTGCATCAGGGCTGATCACAGCCTGTACCGTGGCCCCTACCCCGGTCACTCCACCCCCAAGGCGCGCAGCCCCAGGAGGCTGGGGTGCAGGAGCTCCATGAAGAGCGCCGTGCTGCCAAATGTCTCCTGGAATTGGGGGACCAGGGGGACCAGGCTGGGCCACCCCAGTGCTCACGAGCCGCCCCTCACGCCACGAGTACATCCCAGGCTCACCGGTACGGGAGGTCGTCCCGGTAGAGGTCGTAGTCCAGATCGCAGTTACTGCTGCGGGAGGCAAGAGGAGACAGTCACCCCCGCGGCAGCGCAGCGCGGCCCTGCTGCGGGACAGCCCCACCGAGCAGCACACGGGCACGGCGGGACAGGGCCCCTCCTGCACGACCTCCTCCTTGGCCCGGGGAGCAGGAGGCATCACGGGGGGGTGACAAGCAGGACTGCTGCTGTTCACCCTGCGGCCAAGCAGGGTATTTGGGAGCCTGCAGTGGGAAGAGCCTCAGCTGGAGCAGGCCTTGCTATCTGGAAATCTGCATTTCGAGCTCTCTGATGTTAAATTTCACGCTCCCTCAGCTCCGCATTAAGAAGTGATCTGTCAGCAAATCACCTCGATGCAGGCAGCCGACACGCTTGCAATAAGCAATGCTCTGTGAACCACGGGAAGATGGGGGGAAAAAGACGCTGAAGCTCATTTTGCCATTTCAGCGCCTGCAGAAACCCAAGGCCAGGCGAGACGAAGCGCTGCACGGAGCGGGAAGCCTCCTCCAGCCGTGTGCTCGGAGGGACAGTCGAGGACAAGGTGACCGGCAACGCTCAGGAGAGGCTCCTGGGGCTGCAGAGCACCCACAGCCTGGGAGGAGGCCCCAGGCAAGCGGCCCTGCCAGGTCCTGGGGCACAACCCAGCCCTGCGGCTCCGGATTCGGGAGCTCCGGGTGCACCAGGAGGGTTAGATTCCCTAGTGCTGGCAGGAGCGCACACAGCTGGAGTTGGCGCGTGGCGCTCGTGTGGCCCTGGATGCTATTTCTGTGCCCAGGCGCCCAGCCCGGCCAGCTGAGATTCCTCTAAGAGGGAGGAAAGAGTCTAAAATAAACAAGAGATCAGGACACCTGGCCAGCGGGTGCCCCGCAAAGCCTCCCATCCCAGCACCCAGCCAAGGGCAGAGCGTCCCTGTTCCCATCCCCAGGGAGCATTACAGGCCTCTCACAGCTCAGCCCCTTGGCCAGAGCACCGGTGCTGCTCCGCCAGCTCTGCCCTTCACCTCGTCCCCTGCCTCCGGCCGGCCGGTCCTTGCGCACCCGTTCCCACGCTCTGCGCCACTGTCACGCAGGCCAGGAGCAGCCCAAAGCCCCAGCTCTGCTTAGTCAGGGCAAGGAGGCTCCCCTTGAGCTCTGCCACCCAGCACAGTGCATCCCAACACTCATCCTGATGTCCCCCTGCCCAGAGCGGGACTGCTCGGCCCGGGAATCTCCACGAGGAAGCGACCGAGCGCTGGCTGCTCTCCAGCCTTCCCCCCAGCCCAAAGTCAGCCCTACGGCTTCCTGGGCACAGCCAAGCACACCACAACCATGACGGCCAAGAGCGTTGCCCAGGTCCAGGGTTGGGAGCCCACCCTGTGCCCATTCCAGAGCCACCTCTGAGGACAAAGGTGGCTCTGGGGACCATCGTGACATTTCTGAGGGGTTCGCGGATGACTCACAGCCAGCGTCAGTGCTGGCCCTCCTCTTTTAGGCCCAGCTGGCAGGGCTGGCAGCGCCAGGGGGAGTGGGTGCCAGGAACAGCCTGCCCCTGTTGTCTGCACCTGGAGTTATTTGGGGAGCTTTTGTTTCAGCCCTGCTGTCTTCCAAGTTTCCATCAAACGTGATGTGCAGTTCCATCTCCCCGTTACAGGGACAGCGAGTCCTTCAGATCCCTACCTCCAGCCAAGGGCAGAGCCTGTGGCCCAGGGAAGAAGGCAACAAACTGTCCTGGGTCCTGGGAAACAGCTAGAGAGGGGAGCAGACCCCACACACACATGGTAAAGGGAAGCTTTCACCTCTGCACGTCCCAGACCTTTCTCCAAAGGTCTCTTTCCATCCACCAGAAACATCTCCGCTAACAGTTGGAGAAGAAAGCACCAACAAACCTGTGGAAAGATCCAGGCTCAACAAAAGGAAGGTCCTGCTGCTGTGTGGTTGTTCCACCCAGAGAAGTCCAGAAGCCAAATCATTTTATTACCCTTCGAAAAGTCACAACACCTCCTCACATGTCAATCTTGAAGGACTCAGTCAGCTCTCCAGACCACAGTGCTCTTTGTAACCACAATGCTGCATCCCCTGGGCACGGGGCAGCTTCTGCCTTTGCTCCCACGGCCTCCAGCTTTCTCAGTTGCTGCTCCCAGGACTGGGGCCACGGGAGACGAGCGTATTCGGGGAGAGAGAAGAGAGGAGGCTGCTCGAGGGAGGCACAGCCTCTGCCACCACCTCGGCAGCACCCACCGCGAAGGGAAAACATGGCACCATGGGGCACAAGGACAGCGGGTGCAGAAAGGCAGAGGTGGCACCGATGCACGTAGGGCAAAACGAGAGCAGGCGGCAGCAGCAAATGGACAGACCTGCTGCACGGGTGGTTCAGGGAAGTGTTTTGCACATCCAGCTCCAGGCCAGGGCCAGAGCGAGGACTTTCCTGGCTCCACTCTTTGCTCTTCAGACCAACTCGTGGCAACAACGATAGCAGCAGCTCCGGTGGGTGCTACACACGCTGCGTCGCTGCGCGCGCAGGAGCTCCCCAGTCCCGCAGCTCTCGTGGCCTCAACTCCTCACGCCCGCACGGAGCCTCCTCCGGGCGCCCGCTGCGCTGTCCCCATGACAACGGTCGGAGCAATTAGTTCAACCAGGGTGTTTGCAGGAGCTCTCCAACAAAACAGAGCCGGGTGCCGGCTCCAGCGCCCTCCCCAGCGCCTGGCACAGCGGGGGCCGTGCGCCCTGCAGGCCCCCAGCCCACCCCGCCGTGCGTCCCGCTGCCGAGCGCCACGCAGAGCCAGCCCGCCTGGGCCCCGAGCGCTCCCATGCCAAAGACAGCAAGGCCGGCAGCACGCTTGCCCTCCAGAAAGGACTCCAGGCTCCTTCCAAGTCTGGGTAGGCTCCCAGCTGCATCAGCACCCTCTGCTCTGTGCCCCTCGGGCTGCTCCTTCGGTTCATGTTCAGCCTGCGGTCAGAGGGCTCCTGTGATACCCTCAGCTTGCTCTGGGAGGCTCAGAGCAGCCCCACGGGCTCCAAGGAGGAGGAAGGTCTCCCTGGCAATGGTCTCAACACTGCTGCCTGCCTCAGGACTGCTCCACGTTTGTTCAGAGCCAGCAGGACCCGCAAAGCCACCATGGCCGGGTCCTTGCAGCGCCAGGGAGCTGAAAGCGCAGAGAGACGGGGTCTGCTTTCCTGTATCTATTGGCCACCATCCCAGTGTCTCCGCTGTGCCCCTAGCCCGTTTCCTCAGGGGACAAACGTGCCTGCAACGTCATTTGAAGGCCAGGACTGCAAACACGAGTCTACATTTATAAACAGGTGTGGAGCTCTCAGGGATTTTCATCACTGGATGAACAGAACCTTCCAGACAGCTTTGGTTGGGAAGGGAGATACGTTCCCCACCTTGGTGCATCCTAACGGTAACAAACACCTGGGCCACACACAGCATGGCAGGAGGTGAAGGGTTACAATGATATTTTGTACCCAGATGACAAAATATCTGAGCTATGGAGCAACAAGCCCTCTGCCACGCTGAGAGTCTGGCAATGTGGTCATGGGCTTGAAAATCGGAAAGGACTCTAGTCCCTTCCTCTCCATTGCCCCCATTGTGGGGACTTGGACTCTAGTCCCTTCCTCTCCATTGCCATGGTTGGGACTTGAGGTGTCCCAAGAATTGCATAGGGATGGGACATCCCCTCTATCCCAATGGATGCTCTGGGACGGGCAACCAGATGAGTCTGAGAGCTGAGAGGTGAAGAGCAAGGGGAGGAAGAGGAGCAAAACACCTTGAAGCCACCCCTAGCGTGGCACTTGTGACAGTCCCCAGGCCAAGAAGGGCCTCCTGGCACAACCCCACCCCCGACATGAGGGCACTCACTGGTACATGGTGCTGCTGTGCTGCCTCTTCTGGCCCAGCCTGGCCCGGCTCAGCTTGGGTTCTCTGGCCATGTCCAAATCTGAGGGAAGAGAAAGCAGGGGAGTAAGCGGTGAAGAGAAAAGGGAATCCCAACAAGCTGCCCCACACGGCTTCCTATGGGACAAGAGGGCCCTCAAGCACCTTCTTCTCACTGCTGAAGGCTCCCAACCCCTCTCCAAAGCCACCCGAGCCCAAAGCACCAGCAGGAAGAGCCCAAGGCAGCAGCAGGCATGGGACACACCAGCTCGCCAGCCTTTGTGCAGCACACGCGCTGGAAGTATTGTACAAACAGCAGAGGAGCCTGTCGTGAGTACACCAAGGTATTTCAACAAATGGCACCTCCATTCTCCATGCCAAGACTGGCTGTTAAGCATCAGACCAACGGTTTAAACATCTGCAGTGCAACTTGCAGCTTTCTCTAGGCTAAAGCAGCCTTTTGGAAAGGGGCAGCAACAGCCCAGGCAGAGCCTCTTCCGCCTCGGCCAACAAACCTGCTTGGAGCATCCCCTGCAGCAGCCCTGCTAACCCCACCGGACCAAGCGCCGCTGGGGAATCATGGGGAATCCTCTTGCATTAGCACTTCCAACATCCAGTTTGTCCATTTTTTTGGTGAGAAAAATGTCTCTGTACCAGACGAGACACGAGCGAGCACTGCCCAGCACCGACAGGCACTGGTGGGATGGAGGCAGGAGTCAAGCCCAGCATCCCAGGCGCTTTGCGCTCCAGAAGGGCCGCAGAAGAGATGTTTGCGCCCTGTCAGAACCACCCTGGTCAGAGAGATGCTTGGCCTTCAGCAGCAAGTCACCTTATCCACTTCTAAAGCCCCTGGCTCTGCTCCTATCCAAGTACTCACCAGAAGGTTTCCTGCCATCTGAGCATCAGCACCTTGCCGAGCACGGAGATTGCAGGAGTTTCCTACCCCCAGACCCAGGGAAAAGCAGGAGTTTCACACAAGGGCACATCGGACCTGAAGCCTCTGCTGAAACTCACAGCTCAGCCAGCTGCCTGACCTGCACATCCTCCAGACTGATCCTGCCCATCCTCATTTCTGGGCTCTGTCCTTCCACCTCGTGTTTCACACAGCCCAGACATGTCCGAAATGACCGCACCACTCCAGAGGGACATGGCAGGGGCTCCGCAGGGCCCTTTGCTCCCATGCCAGGGCTGTCTCTGGATGTGCACCTCACCAGCAACTCCACTTCTTGGCTGCCACATCTGGCAGATCTCCTCTGTGACGGCCTTTTTCAGGAACGGTTCCACTTGCTCCTTGACAATCTGCATCTAAATGGTGGTGCCCACAAACCAGCAGGTGCTTCTGAAAGGTGAAGCCCAAGAACCTGCTGCCCGTCCGCTCTCTGGGGTTCCTCTGCCCTGCATTCCCAGCTGTGTTGTTCCCCTCCTCCCTTTCCTAGGCAATTCCACTCATTTTAACATCATCTACTACCTCCTGACAGACCCCCCATGAATTACGCTGAATTTCATAGACTCTGCCCCACTCCCTCCATGCTCATCCTCTTCAGATGCCTCTCCCCCAAGCCCCGGTGCTTCCCTCCCAGCTCCAGAAGCTTCTTTACCCTTTGCTTAAGATCACAGACAACTATCAGGACACATAAGGTTAATCAAATCTATTTTTTAAGAGTACAAATTTAACAGCAATTGCTGCAAGTGTTTACTAACATGTAGATATAGTTAATTTTGTATTCCCCAGCCCCTCACCCCAAAAAAACCCAAGCAATGTAAAATCTCCTGGCAGCGCCTTTCTCATTAAAGCCACTCTCTGCATTACTCATGGCACATTTACCCTCCCAGTGCTCACTGCTTTCTTCCCAATGGCTTTATTCAGATTGGAGTTGGACTCGTGAGGCAGCAAGTAATTACCAGAATCAGTTTTGATTCCTTTTCTGGAGGATTACAGCTACATTCTCTTTTCCAAACCATAACAGAGAGTGCTCAAGTCTTACAAGATGGGGTAGGCAGGACAGAAAGCATCCCAGAGTCCAGCACCAGCTGATCTCCTAAAGCACTTTGGGCTCCAAAACCGCTCCGACCCTTGGGATGGGAGCTGGTGGCACAAACGTTGAGTCCCCCCTCTTGCACATTCTCCCTTAGCCATCGTAACTGTTACCAGCTTGAGAGGGAGACAGGAACGAATAGAGGGCCCTGGGTTGCAGCCCAAGAGTGGGGGGTTGAGGAGACCCTTGCTGATTTTGCATCTGCACCTTCCTTGGACTCAGGAAGCCCCTTCCCTCTCTTAGTGCACCTGACCTCACCCCATCCCTCAGGGGCCTTGAGGAACAGGCTGCAGGGACCACGTAGCCTCAAGCCAAGCCCAGGAGGTTCAGGTCCTTCCCTGGTGTCACCCCAGACACAGCTCAGCTGCCTGGTTGCAGCAAAGCAGGCCAGATCCCCGGGGAAATGCCATTCCCTCAGGTGACACTGCAGACACCACAGCCCTGGGCAACACAGCGCTGACACTTCTCAAGTCTTCTGATGCCAAAACACATCAGCTCCTCTTGGTGCAGCTCATCAGAGAGGTCCAGGCATGTGGGACCACACTAGAGGGGGCCAGCTCTGCCATCGTGGTGCCCATCCCTGCAAGTCCTTCCCAGCCAGACCTTTTGCACAGGCCCATGGCTGCAAGGGCTGCACGTTGGCTGAGCACAACCCTACCAGTGCAGCCAGCCCAAAGCACTACTTTTTTTTTTCCCAATTTGCCTTTGGAAGACAGAAAAGAGCCCAAGTGCCAGTGGGTTTCTGTTGGCACACGAGAGAGCACAACCCAGAGCCGCTCAGAGGAGTCGGTCCATAGAAACCCATGCCAGGACTGGAGCTTTGCCCTACTAAGCACCGAGCCATAGAGCAGAAGGATCTTGTGGCCGTGGTGATCATCCCGGCTCTGACACAGGGGGAAACAGGCCTGCCGCAGGCAGCCAACATCTCACTGACCAGCTAGAACCTCCACCAAGTCCCTTCCACCACACTGCCCAGTGTGCTGCAGTGCCACAAACGCATGGCGAGCTCCGGGACAGGCAACTGCCTCCAGCCCTGATTAGCATGGAGGGTCTGGATCTTAGACACGGCTTTACAATGGGGTCTAGCTGGTGGTCACAGCTCCACAGCCTCTCAGACCTGTGATTTTTGGGCTGCATGGCACCACTGCTGTCATTGCAACACTAGCACCTCTTTTACCAGTGACCAGATGCAACAAGAGGTGACATTTCACAACCAGAGGGCACACCAAGGTCACCATCGATGACAGACATGGCCTGGGGAGCTCTGCCAGAAGACCCAAGGCAGCGCATTCCCCCAAGAGGAGCAAAGGGCTGAGCGGTGCATTTGGTGCCACACTCCCCAATGCGTGCCCAAGCTCGTGCCAACGTAGGCTTCCCGGGGATGCAAAGCGCATGTTGCCCCCTAGCTCTGCTCCACCAACGTGCTGCTCTGGCAAGCCTGTTCTTGGCACACAGTTGTCTAGCTCCTGCTTCGAGGCCTGTCCATGTCCATTCTGGTGCGTCCATGGGATTGCCAAAGTGGTAGCATGGCCACAGCTTCCTGCTTGCCTGAGGGGCATTTCAGCCCTTCAGGCTGCACCGTGGGGAGCGCAGATCTCCCTGGCCAACCCCTTGCCAGGATCTTGGGGTGGCAGAGGCACAACCTGTCACCCGCTCCTGCTTCGTCCTTCGGCTGCCTGAACACACGCGTCTCCCCGCTTGGTTGTCTTTGGAGGCAAGAGCATGAGCGTGGCCACCACGTGTGGCCTTCCTGGGGGCCTCCAAGCCGTCCTGCACTTCCCCCCACGGGGCAGCCCCTCGCAGCCATCCCGGGAGCTGCGTGGTACCAGACAAGCAGCTGGACGGCACCACATCGGGGCAACAGCTCCGTGGTGGCTGGAGGGTGAGCCCGGCCATGTGACACTCCTGTCACCCCTTCCCCATACACTGCTGATGCTGGGGGGGTTACAGGTGTCCCAGTGTCCCATCCCACCCCCGGGAGGTCACCGCTGTCCTGGCGGGGGCATCCAGAACCGCGGTTGGTGGGAACGCGCACGGGTGGATTGGGCATCTCCTGGAGGGCATCGCTGTCCAGGTGCGATGCGGGGGACACGTCCGGTGGTGGCACCAGGAGGGGACCGGTCCTGAGGAGGCATCGGGGTAACGGGGAGCCGGTGCGGGGAGAGTGGGCACCGGGGAGCCCTTCCCGAGGACGGCACCAGGAGGATGGAGAGGAACCGACGTGAGGGGTCCCGAGGGC